TGTGAGGCGTTTCTTTTCCAAGAGTCTATAATCTGTTGGAGGGGGAAAAGGTTCCAGCTGTCCAGCCGCCGCCGCGGCGGTGGCGGCGTGTCTGAAGTCCGGGGTCCTCGGCGGGGGAAAGAAGATAGGCGGTCCGCGGGAAGGTTTGCTGGGACTCGGTGCCGTCGGCGGGTCGAAGCTCGGTGGTGGGCGGCTTGGAATGAAGGAGGTGCGGCGTCTTCCTCGAGGCGGTGGTCCAGTTGTCAGGGCTTTGTCTCAATTACAGGAAGAGGAATTGCTCTTTAGTGCACAGCACTTAAAAGTGCTTTTAACGGCAAAAGACATCACCAGAGTGGAACTGGTGTCATAGTTTGTGTTGTTCCTCTCAGACATGGTTGTGTTCTTTTCTCGATGTTTGTTCTCCAGAATGGATGTCTCTTGGTTGTATTTTAAACTTTCAAGTTGTTTTAAGTTAATTTTAAAGTAGTTTATTTGTTTTAAATTGAGTTTTGCTACATTAAATTTGTATGCAATCGCAAGGGATTGTGGGTATTTTAGTTCTGAGGGATGAGAGCCTAAGGAATCAGGCTGTGTCTCATTTCAGAGACCGCATCGACCTAAGTGCCCTTCTGCACCGTCGAACGGTGCATTTGAAGCGTGCATGACGTCACGACGGTGCGAACGGTGTCCCATTTGGCACGAGATGCTAAAAAATGCTAAGCGCGCTTAGCATGTTTTCAAGCGTGCATTTATGCACGCTTTCGTGCCGTCGGTATCCCAGAATGCTTTGCGTGCCGCTGCACAGCTGCGCATTTCAGGTGAGAGGCTGGACTCGCTTGAAGACACAGCGCGTCTTAAAAGAAATTACAAGCAATCCAAAAACAGCAGACAGTCAGTTCAGGCTGGTATGAGAGCATGATCTCTGAACTCACTAAAATCTGTAAACCAAACATTATAGATTTAGAGACGAACTGATCCGCTCTGCTACAACAATCAAAAACATTAGAAATAAGAAAGCTGACAAAACTACAGCAGAGTATCAGGACAACATTGAGGTTTTTTTCTTTTAAGATTTAGAGATTAAAGTTGTAAATTTAGGAGAATAAAGTCATAAAGTAAATAAAGTCATAAAGCTGCTTTTGTGGAGGGGGAAATGACTGAAGTTGGTCATCTGCAGGGTTATCTGTGGATGTATCAGCGGGTCATTCAGAGAGATTTTGTGGTTTCTGAAGAAACAATCAAACTGATGATGATCAACATTTGTGATCCAGAGGGAGTCGAGCTCCAACGAGCACCACGTCTCTGACACCGGCCGTAGCCTACACCTGCAGAGACACCAACACCTTATTACTGCATATGGATTCATATCATAAATTAAAGCTCAATGTCATTCACGGATATTTACGGCTGCATTGACAGATATATCCTCAGCATATTCATTTCTGCCTCCACAAAAGCAGCGATTTCCTTCAAGTACACCAGTTTTTTTCCCCGTGGAAAAGACGTATTTCTCATATATTCTTTTTTAAAGTCTTTATACTTATGACAATCTGATGCCGATGTGCCAGAGAATGAAGTATCTCCTATCCTCCTTCTCAATAGGGCCCTCATACTCCTTCATACAAAACAATCATTGGATGAATTTTGTGGGAATGATCTGTGCTTGTATGTATCTACTATTTTGTGTCTGTGCAAGGTCGTACAATTAAAACAATACATGCTGCGCTCCGCAGCTTTTTTTCTAATCAGTCGTGACGTAAGCCTGAGGGCGGGGACATTTGGAGACCTTCGGAGGACTTCCTGGTGGAGTTGCCAAATGTCCCCGCCCTCAGGCTCGCGTCACGACTGACTTAAAGGAAACCCGCGGAGCGCAGCATTTATTGTTTTAATTGTGCGACCTTGCACAGACACAAAATAGTAGATACATACAAGCACAATTCATCCAATGATTGTTTTGTAAGAAGGAGTATGAGGGCCATATTGAGATTTAAGACTTTAAGGACTTCGAGATTTAAGTCGTGAATTTACGAGAATAAAGTCATTAATTTATGAGAATGAAGTCATAACCTGTTATTTCAGAGAGACTTGTTAAAATTAGGGCCATGAAGCATTTGAAGGAACTGTGCTTCAGTATAGGTTTCACAAACAAGGAGATTCTTCATCCTCTGGCACATCAGCATAACATTGTCATAAGTATAAAGACTTTAAAAAAGAATATATGAGAAATACGTCTTTTCCACGGGGGAAAAAAATTGGTGTACTTGAAGGAAATCGCTGCTTTTGTGGAGGCAGAAATGAATATGCTGAGGATATATCTGTCAATGCAGCCGTTAATATCCGTGAATGATATTGAGCTTTAGTTTATGATATGAATCCATATGCAGTAATAAGGTGTTGGTGTCTCTGCAGGTGTAGGCTACCGCCGGTGTCAGAGACGTGGTGCTTGTCGGAGCTCGACTCCCTCTGGATCACAAATGTTGATCATCATCAGTTTGATTGTTTCTTCAGAAACCACAAAATCTCTCTGAATGACCCGCTGATACATCGACAGATAACCCTGCAGATGACCAGCTTCAGTCATTTCCCCCTCCACAAAAGCAGCTTTATGACTTTATATACTTTATGAGTTTATTCTCCTAAATTTACAACTTTAATCTCTAAATCTTAAAAGAAAAAAACCTCAATGTTGTCCTGATACTCTGCTGTAGTTTTGTCAGCTTTCTTATTTCTAATGTTTTTGATAGTTGTAACACAGCGGATCAGTTCGTCTCTTAATCTATAATGTTTGGTTTACAGATTTTAGTGAGTTCAGAGATCATGCTCTCATACAGCCTGAGTTGACTGTCTGCTGTTTTTGGATTGCTTTTATTTTCTTCGAAGACGTGCTGTGTCTCCAAGCGAGTCCAGCCTCTCACCTGAAATGCACAGCTGTGCAGCGGCACGCAAAGAATTCTGGGATACTGACGGCACGAAAGCGTGCATACATGCACGCTTGAAGAAGAGGCGGGGGTAGTGTGGTTTTGAGACCGAATTTGAAGCGCGCTTAGTATTTTGTGCCAAACGGGACACCGTTGGTGCCGCGTGGTGACCTCACGTACGCGTCAGATGCGCCGTTCGATGGCTGCTGTATCTGAAATGGGACACAGGAAGGGCACAGAACGGCGCAAAACGGTACAAAACGGCAGTGCACTCAGCTAAGCGCCGTTAAGCGCGCTTATCACGATGCGGTCTCTGAAATGAGACACAGCCTCAATCTTCCTGTTACAGCAAAGGATTGTGGGTAAAACCGTGAGTGAGTGAGGTACTTCCTTTCTGGCATGAGAGCCTTGGGAATCAAGCTCCCTGTTGCAGCAAAGGATTGTGGGTAAAACCGTGAGTGAGGGAGGTACATTTTTCCTGGCATGAGAACCTCAGGAGTCAGTCCTTCCTAAGAAAAAAGAGGGGAGGGGGGAAGAAAAACAAAAGCACAGGAACCCTAAAATAAAATAAAATAAAATAAAATAATATGATATAAAACAATGAAAAAATAAAAAAATAAAAGAAGAACAAAAGTGGATTGCAAAAAGGGAAGGGGAAGAAAAAAGGAAAAAAAGAAGTGTCAAGAGCAAATAGCAAAAATCAAAAGTGAGCTTAAAAACAGAGAACAGTTCCCTAAAAGACAGACAGAAATGTAAATTTGATCAATGTCCCAAGGGAAAATTTGTACGTGTGTGTGTGTGTTCTTTTCTGCTAGCTTAGTCTGGTGTCACTGATTGTCAGTTATTGATAAGTATTTATTATTTAAATTTTTGATGAAGTTGTTTGTAGTGGGGTTAGCTGGCTAATTTTAGAGTGTTAAAAAAGATGTTAGAGGGGGAGGATTTAGGGGGCATGGCGGTTCCCCTTCAGGTCTCTCTTAATCCTCCATATAGGTGACCCAACAGGGGTTACCCCCCCGGCCGGGGTAGGCCTAGGCTGAAGATCACCTATTTGTCCTCTGTGAAGGTGAAAATAAAGGGGCAGGGGAGGGAATAAGAAAGAGGGGGTGTGTTAGAGAGAGGGGGAGAGATGAGGGAGAGAGATGAGGGAGAGAGGGAGCGAGAGAGAGAGAGAAGGAGTGTGAGAGAGAGGGGGAAGAGGGAGAGAGGGGGGGGGGAGAGTGTGTGTGTGTGTGAGATAGAGAGACAGAGAGAGAGAGAAAGAGAGGGAGAAGGGAAGAGGGAGAGGGGGGTTTAAGGGAGAGGTGGAGATGGTGGAATATAAAGATTGGTAAGGGGGATTTGGTGGCGGATGAAACATCCCATAGCTCCCCAGCTCTCACCATCCATGTGAGGAGAGTGAGCAAGGGACATAGTCCCCCGACCCGACTAGGTCTAGGCTCTGCTCTCCTCACGGTCCTCATGAGATACAAAGAGATATGTAAACGTGGAAGTGAGAGTTCTCTAGGCAGAGTTTTGGGTTTGGTTTGAGCTGAGTTGGTCAGTTGATTATTGATTACTATTTTAAGTTCTAAAAGTGGATAGAGTCAAAAAGTCACAGAGGATTGTGGTGGGAGAAGATGGTCCGTCTGGCACCATTCTACTCATGCAGGGATTCGAGTGATAGAAAGAGAATAGATCTTGCCACCATGACTCGCCATTGAGACTCTCCTCACCTGCTGGTTTTCATCCTCTGATAGGAGAGAGAGGTACAGATCAGGAGAAAAGGAGGGGGGAAGGGTGGGGTCAGGAGTTAATTTGTCTTGAAAAGTATTTATCTTTTCGTCATTGCTGTTAGGGTTTAGATATTTTTTGTTTAGTTATCTGAGGAATGTAGTGTTAGTATAGGTTCCAAGGTGGAGGATTCTTTTGAATTCACTCTCACCCTTGATACTGGAAGATCTTAGATTCTATAAAGGGGGGGAAGGGGGGGTGGGGGGGGGTGAGAGGTTGTGTGCACAGAAGGAGCATGGGCTCAGACTATTCTCGGAATGATATTGTGACAAGTCTGTCCAAAGGCAACTGGCTGGTTTGGTGTGGGTAAGAGATACAGTGATAGCCCCCGCTTTCGTCAGTTGACTTGGCGGTTTGGGGTAGGCTGATCAAGGGCTTGCACTGGCCGGCGCATGTCGACCTGTCACATGTTCCCAGTCGAGTCTCCGAGCTCAATCTGTGTGTAAAATTATGTGTTGGTAGGAAGTTTAATGACTCAGCTTAATTGGTATGCTATGCTGTCTATCTTTTAGATTATGTGTTTGGAGAGCAACATTATGTGTATATTATGTTACAGGGCTAGGTAAAGGTTAAAGGTTTTTGGCGTTAGGGTTAAAATCACTGTCCAAAACCTTTGTAGGAACTCCTTTCCAACCTTTTGGAGTTAGCTAGACCAAAAAAAAAAAAAAAAGAAAAATGAAAAAAAATTTTTTGGGGGTGTTAAGGCTTCCTTAAGGTAATACCCGGGTATTAGGTTACGGGGCTAGGGTAAGGTTTAAGGTTTTTGGCGTTTGGGTTAAAATCACTGTCCAAAACCTTTGTAGGAACTCTTTTCCAACCTTTTGGAGTTAGCTAGACCAAAAAAAAAAAAGGAAAAATGAAAAAAAAAATGTTTGGGATGTGAAGGCTTCCTTAAGGTAATACCCGGGTATTAGGTTCGGGGATAGGGTAAGGTTTAAGGTTTTTAGCGTTAGGGTTAAAATCACTGTCCAATATTTTTAAGGAACATGTTTCAGACCTTTTGGAGTTAGTTACACCAAAAAAAAAATGTAAAATGAAAAAGAAATATTTGGGGTGTTCGGGCTTCCTGAAGGTAATACCCAGGTATTAGGTTATGGGGCTTTGGAAAGGTTTAAGGTTTTTGGCGTTTGGGTTAAAATCACTGTCCAAAACCTTTGTAGGAACTCTTTTCCAACCTTTTGGAGTTAGCTAGACCAAAAAAAAAAACGAAAAATAAAAATAAAATTTTTTGGTGTGGTAGGGCATCCTTTAGCTAATACCCAGGTATTAGGTTTCAGGGCTAGGTAAAGGTTAAAGGCTTTTGGCGTTAGGGTTAAAATAACTGTCCAATATTTTTTAAGGAACATGTTTCAGACCTTTTGGAGTTCGTTAGACCAAAAGAAAAACGAAAAATGAAAAAAAAAAATGTTTGGGGTGTTAAGGCTTCCTTAAGGTAATACCCAGGTATTAGGTTACGGGGCTAGGGTAAGGTTTAAGGTTTTTGGCGTTAGGGTTAAAATCACTGTCCAAAACCTTTGTAGGAACTCTTTTCCAACCTTTTGGAGTTAGTTAGACCAAAAAAAAAAAAGAAAAATGAAAAAAAATAAATTTGGGGTTTTCGGGCTTCCTGAATGTAATACCCGTGTATTAGGTTATGGGGCTAGGGTAGGGTTTAAGGTTTTTGGCGTTAGGGTTAAAATCACTGTCCAAAACCTTTGTTGGAACAAGTTTCAGACCTTTTGGAGTTAGTTAGACCAAAAAAAACGAAAAATGAAAAAAAAAATATGGGGTTTTTTGGGCTTCCTGAAGGTAATACCCAGGAATTAGGTTATGGGACTAGGGAAAGGTTTAAGGTTTTTGGCGTTAGAGTTAAAATCACTGTCCAAAACCTTTTTAGGAACATATTTCAGACCTTTTGGAGTTAGTTACACCAAAAAAAAAAGGAAAAGGAAAAAAAATATTTGGGGTTTTCGGGTTTCCTGAAGGTAATACCCGGATATTAGGTTATGGGGCTTTGGAAAGGTTTAAGGTTTTTGGCGTTAGGGTTAAAATCACTGTCCAAAACCTTTGTAGGAACTCTTTTCCAACCTTTTGGAGTTAGTTAAACCAAAAAAAAATGAAAAATGAAAAAAAAATATTTGGGGTTTTCGGGCTTCCTGAAGGTAATACCAGGGTATTAGGTTTTGGGGCTAGGGTAAGGTTAAAGGTTTTTGGCGTTAGGGTTAAAATCACTGTCCAAAACCTTTGTAGGAACTCTTTTCCAACCTCTTGCAGTTAGTTAGACCAAAAAAAAATGAAAAATGAAAAAAAAATGTTTGGGGTTTTCGGGCTTCCTGAAGGTAATACCCGGGAATTAGGTTATGGGGCTAGGGAAAGGTTTAAGGATTTTGGTGTTAGGGTTAAAATCACCATCCAAAACCTTTTTAGGAACATGTTTCAGACCTTTTGGAGTTAGTTAGACAAAAGAAAATGAAAAATGAAAAAAAAAGATTTTTGGGGTTTTCGGGCTTCCTGAAGGTAATACCCGGGTATTAGGTTTTGGGGCTAGGGTAAGGTTTAAGGTTTTTGGCGTTAGAGTTAAAATCACTGTCCAAAACCTTTTTAGGAACAAGTTTCAAACCTTTTGGAGTTAGTTAGACAAAAAAAAAATGAAAAATGAAAAAAAAAAATGTTTGGGGTGTTAAGGCTTCCTTTAGGTAATACCCGGGTATTAGTTATGGGGCTAGGGTAAGGTTTAGGGTTTTTGGCGTTAGGGTTAAAATCACTGTCCAAAACCTTTGTTGGAACAAGTTTCAGACCTTCTGGAGTTAGTTACACCAAAAAAAAAAAGGAAAAGGAAAAAAAAATATTTGGGGTTTTCGGGTTTCCTGAAGGTAATACCCGGATATTAGGTTATGGGGCTTTGGAAAGGTTTAAGGTTTTTGGCGTTAGGGTTAAAATCACTGTCCAAAACCTTTGTAGGAACTCTTTTCAAACCTTTTGGAGTTAGTTAGACAAAAAAAAAATGAAAAATGAAAAAAAAAATGTTTGGGGTGTTAAGGCTTCCTTTAGGTAATACCCGGGTATTAGGTAATGGGGCTAGGGTAAGGTTAAGGGTTTTTGGCGTTAGGGTTAAAATCACTGTCCAAAACCTTTGTTGGAACAAGTTTCAGACCTTCTGGAGTTAGTTACACCAAAAAAAAAAGGAAAAGGAAAAAAAAATATTTGGGGTTTTCGTGTTTCCTGAAGGTAATACCCGGATATTAGGTTATGGGGCTTTGGAAAGGTTTAAGGTTTTTGGCGTTAGGGTTAAAATTACTGTCCAAAACCTTTGTAGGAACTCTTTTCCAACCTTTTGGAGTTAGTTAAACAAAAAAAAAAAGAAAAATGAAAAAAAAATATTTGGGGTTTTCGGGCTTCCTGAAGGTAATACCCGTATTAGGTTATGGGGCTAGGGTAAGGTTTAAGGTTTTTGGCGTTAGGGTTAAAATCACTGTCCAATATTTTTTAAGGAACATATTTCAGACCTTTTGGAGTTAGTTAGACCAAAAAAAATGAAAAATGAAAAAGAAAATTGGGGGGTTTTCGGGCTTCCTGAAGGTAATACCCGTATAGGGATATCTGGCTAGGGTATGGTTTAAGGTTTTTGGCGTTAGGGTTAAAATCACTGTCCAATATTTTTTAAGGAACATGTTTCAGACCTTTTGGAGTTAGTTAGACAAAAATAATGAAAAATGAAAAAAAAATATTTGGGGTTTTCGGGCTTCCTGAAGGTAATACCCGTATTAGGTTATGGGGCTAGGGTAAGGTTTAAGGTTTTTGCCGTTAGGGTTAAAATCACTGTCCAAAACCTTTTTTGGAACATGTTTCAGACCTTTTGGAGTTAGTTAGACCAAAAAAAATGAAAAATGAAAAAAAAAAATTGGGGTGTTTTCGGGCTTCCTGAAGGTAATACCTGTATAAGGATATCTGGCTAGGGTATGGTTTAAGGTTTTTGGCGTTAGGGTTAAAATCACTGTCCAAAACCTTTGTAGGGACAAGTTTCAAACCTTTTGGAGTTAGTTAGACCAAAAAAAAAATGATAAATGAAAAAAAAATGTTTGGGGTGTTAAGGCTTCCTTTAGGCAATACCCGGGTATTAGGTTTTGGGGCTAGGGTAGGGTTTAAGGTTTTTGGCGTTAGGGTTAAAATCACTGTCCAAAACCTTTGTAGGAAAAAGTTTCAGACCTTTTGGAGTTAGTAAGACCAAAAAAAAAAGAAAAATGAAAAAAAAATGTTTGGGGTGTTTGGGCCTCCTAAGGGTAATACCCGGGTATTAGGTTATGGGGCTAGGGTAAGGTTTAAGGTTTTTGGCGTCAGGGTTAAAATCACAGTCCAAAACCTTTGTTGGAACAAGTTTCAGACCTTCTGGAGTTAGTTACACCGAAAAAAAAAGGAAAATGAAAAAAAAATATTTGGGGTGTTCGGGTTTCCTGAAGGTAATACCCGGGTATTAGGTTATGGGGCTTGGGTAAGGTTTAAGGTTTAAGGTTTTTGGCGTTAGGGTTAAAATCACTGTCCAAAACCTTTGTTGGAACAAGTTTCAGACCTATTGGAGTTAGTTACACCAAGAAAAAATGTAAAATGAAAAAAAAAATATTTGGGATTTTCAGGCTTCCTGAAGGTAATACCCGGGTATTAGGTTTTGGGGCTAGGGTAAGGTTTAAGGTTTTTGGCGTTAGGGTTAAAATCACTGTCCAAAACCTTTGTAGGAACAAGTTTCAAACCTTTTGGAGTTAGTTAGACCAAAAAAAATGAAAAATGAAAAAAAAAATGTTTGGGGTGTTAAGGCTTCCTTTAGGTAATACCCGGGTATTAGGTTATGGGGCTAGGGTAAGGTTTAAGGTTTTTGGCGTTAGGGTTAAAATCACTGTCCAAAACCTTTGTTGGAACAAGTTTCAGACCTTCTGGAGTTAGTTACACCAAAAAAAAAGGAAAATGAAAAAAAAATATTTGGGGTGTTCGGGTTTCCTGAAGGTAATACCCGGGTATTAGGTTATGGGGCTTTGGAAAGGTTTAAGGTTTTTGGCGTTAGGGTTAAAATCACTGTCCAATATTTTTTAAGGAACATGTTTCAGACCTTTTGGAGTTAGTTAGACCAAAAAAAATGAAAAATGAAAAAAAAAATTGGGGGGTTTTCGGACTTCCTGAAAGTAATACCCGTATTAGGATATCTGGCTAGGGTATGGTTTAAGGTTTTTGGCGTTAGGGTTAAAATCACTGTCCAATATTTTTTAAGGAACATGTTTGAGACCTTTTGGAGTTAGTTAGACAAAAAAAAATGAAAAATGAAAAAAAAATATTTGGGGTTTTCGGGCTTCCTGAAGGTAATACCCGGGTATTAGGTTATGGGGCTAGGGTAAGGTTTAAGGTTTTTGGCGTTAGGGTTAAAATCACTGTCCAAAACCTTTTTTTAAGGAACAATGTTTCAGACCTTTTGGAGTTAGTTAGACCAAAAAACATGAAAAATGAAAAAAAAAATTGGGGTGTTTTCGGGCTTCCTGAAGGTAATACCCGTATAAGGATATCTGGCTAGGGTATGGTTTAAGGTTTTTGGCGTTAGGGTTAAAATCACTGTCCAAAACCTTTTGTAGGAACAATGTTTAGACCTTTTGGAGTCAGTTACACCAAAAAAAATGTAAAATGAAAAAAAAATATTTGGGGTTTTCGGGCTTCCTGAAGGTAATACCCGGGTATTAGGTTATGGGGCTACGGTAAGGTTTAAGGTTTTTGGCGTTAGAGTTAAAATCAGTGTCCAAAACCTTTTTAGGAACTCTTTTCCAACCTTTTGGAGTTAGTTACACCAAAAAAAAAGAAAAATGAAAAAAAGATATTTTGGGTTTTCGGGCTTCCTGAAGGTAATACCCGGGCCTTAGGTTATAGGGCTAGGGAAAGGTTTAAGGTTTTTGATAGGGTTAAAATCACTGTCCAAAACCTTTTTAGGAACTCTTTTCCAACCTTTTGGAGATAGTTAGACCAAAAAAAATGTAAAAAGAAAAAAAAATATTTGGGGTGTTCAGGCTTCCTGAAGGTAATACCCGGGTAATAGGTTATGGGGCTAGGGTAAGGTTTAAGGTTTTTGGCGTTAGGGTTAAAATCACTGTCCAAAACCTTTGTTGGAACAAGTTTCAAACCTTTTGGAGTTAGTTAGACCAAAAAAAAAATGATGAATGAAAAAAAAAATATTTGGGGTTTTCGGGCTTCCTGAAGGTATTACCCGGGTATTAGATTATGGGGCTAGGGAAAGGTTTAAGGTTTTTGGCGTTAGGGTTAAAATCACTGTCCAAAACCTTTGTAGGAACAAGTTTCAAACCTTTTGGAGTTAGTTAGACCAAAAAAAAACGAAAAATGAAAAAATAAATGTTTGGGGTGTTAAGGCTTCCTTTAGGTAATACCCGGGTAATAGGTTATGGGGCTAGGGTAAGGTTTAAGGTTTTTGGCGTTAGGGTTAAAATCACTGTCCAAAACCTTTGTTGGAACAAGTTTCAGACCTTTTGGAGTTGGTTACACCAAGAAAAAATGTAAAATGAAAAAAAAATATTTGGGATTTTTGGGCTTCCTGAAGGTAATACCCGGGTATTAGGTTTTGGGGCTAGGGTAAGGTTTAAGGTTTTTGGCGTTAGGGTTAAAATCACTGTCCAAAACCTTTGTAGGAACAAGTTTCAAACCTTTTGGAGTTAGTTAGACCAAAAAAAATGAAAAATGAAAAAAAAAAATGTTTGGGGTGTTAAGGCTTCCTTTAGGTAATACCCGGGAATTAGGTTATGGGGCTAGGGTAAGTTTTAAGGTTTTTGGCGTAAGGGTTAAAATGACTGTCCAAAACCTTTGTTGGAACAAGTTTCAAACCTTTTAGAGTTAGTTAGACCAAAAAAAAAATGAAAAATGAAAAAAAAAATTGGGGTGTTTTCGGGCTTCCTTTAGGTAATACCCGGGTATTAGGTTATGGGGCTTTGGAAAGGTTTAAGGTTTTTGGTGTTAGGGTTAAAATCACTGTCCAAAACCTTTGTAGGAACTCTTTTCCAACCTTTTGGAGTTAGTTAAACCAAAAAAAAGTGAAAAATGAAAAAAAAAAATGTTTGGGGTGTTAAGGCTTCCTTAAGGTAATACCCGGGTAATAGGTTATGGGGCTAGGGTAAGGTTTAGGGTTTTTGGCGTTAGTGTTAAAATCACTGTCCAAAATTTTTGAAGGAACATGTTTCAGACCTTTTGGAGTTAGTTAGACCAAAAAAAAAAGAAAAATGAAAAAAAAATATTTGGGGTTTTTGGGCTCCCTGAAGGTAATACCCGGGTATTAGGTTTTGGGGCTAGGGTAAGGTTTAAGGTTTTTGGCGTTAGGGTTAAAATCACTGTCCAATATTTTTTAAGGAACAAGTTTCAAACCTTTTGGAGTTAGTTAGACCAAAAAAAAAATGATAAATGAAAAAAAAAATATTTGGGGTTTTCGGGCTTCCTGAAGGTATTACCCGGGTATTAGATTATGGGGCTAGGGAAAGGTTTAAGGTTTTTGGCGTTAGGGTTAAAATCACTGTCCAAAACCTTTGTTGGAACAAGTTTCAAACCTTTTGGAGTTAGTTAGACCAAAAAAAAACGAAAAATGAAAAAAAAAAATGTTTGGGGTGTTAAGGCTTCCTTTAGGTAATACCCGGGTAATAGGTTATGGGGCTAGGGTAAGGTTTAAGGTTTTTGGCGTTAGGGTTAAAATCACTGTCCAAAACCTTTGTTGGAACAAGTTTCATACCTTTTGGAGTTAGTTACACCAAGAAAAAATGTAAAATGAAAAAAAAATATTTGGGATTTTTGGGCTTCCTGAAGGTAATACCCGGGTATTAGGTTTTGGGGCTAGGGTAAGGTTTAAGGTTTTTGGCGTTAGGGTTAAAATCACTGTCCAAAACCTTTGTAGGAACAAGTTTCAAACCTTTTGGAGTTAGTTAGACCAAAAAAAATGAAAAATGAAAAAAAAAAATGTTTGGGGTGTTAAGGCTTCCTTTAGGTAATACCCGGGAATTAGGTTATGGGGCTAGGGTAAGTTTTAAGGTTTTTGGCGTAAGGGTTAAAATGACTGTCCAAAACCTTTGTTGGAACAAGTTTCAAACCTTTTAGAGTTAGTTAGACCAAAAAAAAAATGAAAAATGAAAAAAAAAATTGGGGTGTTTTCGGGCTTCCTTTAGGTAATACCCGGGTATTAGGTTATGGGGCTTTGGAAAGGTTTAAGGTTTTTGGTGTTAGGGTTAAAATCACTGTCCAAAACCTTTGTAGGAACTCTTTTCCAACCTTTTGGAGTTAGTTAAACCAAAAAAAAGTGAAAAATGAAAAAAAAATGTTTGGGGTGTTCGGGCTTCCTGAAGGTAGTATTAGGTAATGGGGCTAGGGAAAGGTTTAAGATTTTTGGCATTAGGGTAAAAATCACTGTCCAAAACCTTTGTAGGAACTCTTTTCAAACCTTTTGGAGTTAGTTAGACAAAAAAAAAAAATGAAAAATGAAAAAAAAAAAAAAGTTTGGGGTGTTAAGGCTTCCTTAAGGTAATACCCGGGTATTAGGTTATGGGGCTAGGGTAAGGTTTAAGGTTTTTGGCGTTAGGGTTAAAATCACTGTCCAAAACCTTTGTTGGAACAAGTTTCAAACCTTTTGGAGTTAGTTAGACCAAAAAAAAAATGATGAATGAAAAAAAAAATATTTGGGGTTTTCGGGCTTCCTGAAGGTATTACCCGGGTATTAGATTATGGGGCTAGGGAAAGGTTTAAGGTTTTTGGCGTTAGGGTTAAAATCACTGTCCAAAACCTTTGTAGGAACAAGTTTCAAACCTTTTGGAGTTAGTTAGACCAAAAAAAATGAAAAATGAAAAAAAAAAATGTTTGGGGTGTTAAGGCTTCCTTTAGGTAATACCCGGGTAATAGGTTATGGGGCTAGGGTAAGGTTTAAGGTTTTTGGCGTTAGGGTTAAAATCACTGTCCAAAACCTTTGTTGGAACAAGTTTCAGACCTTTTGGAGTTGGTTACACCAAGAAAAAATGTAAAATGAAAAAAAAATATTTGGGATTTTTGGGCTTCCTGAAGGTAATACCCGGGTATTAGGTTTTGGGGCTAGGGTAAGGTTTAAGGTTTTTGGCGTTAGGGTTAAAATCACTGTCCAAAACCTTTGTAGGAACAAGTTTCAAACCTTTTGGAGTTAGTTAGACCAAAAAAAATGAAAAATGAAAAAAAAAATGTTTGGGGTGTTGAGGCTTCCTTTAGGTAATACCCGGGAATTAGGTTATGGGGCTAGGGTAAGTTTTAAGGTTTTTGGCGTAAGGGTTAAAATGACTGTCCAAAACCTTTGTTGGAACAAGTTTCAAACCTTTTAGAGTTAGTTAGACCAAAAAAAAAATGAAAAATGAAAAAAAGAAATTGGGGTGTTTTCGGGCTTCCTTTAGGTAATACCCGGGTATTAGGTTATGGGGCTTTGGAAAGGTTTAAGGTTTTTGGTGTTAGGGTTAAAATCACTGTCCAAAACCTTTGTAGGAACTCTTTTCCAACCTTTTGGAGTTAGTTAAACCAAAAAAAAAGTGAAAAATGAAAAAAAAAATGTTTGGGGTGTTCGGGCTTCCTTTAGGTAATACCCGGGTATTAGGTTATGGGGCTAGGGTAAGGTTTAAGGTTTTTGGCGTTAGGGTTAAAATCACTGTCCAAAACCTTTGTTGGAACAAGTTTCAGACCTTCTGGAGTTAGTTACACCAAAAAAAAAGGAAAATGAAAAAAAAATTTTGGGGGTGTTCGGGTTTCCTGAAGGTAATACCCGGGTATTAGGTTATGGGGCTTTGGAAAGGTTTAAGGTTTTTGGCGTTAGGGTTAAAATCACTGTCCAATATTTTTTAAGGAACATGTTTCAGACCTTTTGGAGTTAGTTAGACCAAAAAAAATGAAAAATGAAAAAAAAAAATTGGGGTGTTTTCGGGCTTCCTGAAGGTAATACCCGTATAAGGATATCTGGCTAGGGTATGGTTTAAGGTTTTTGGCGTTAGGGTTAAAATCACTGTCCAATATTTTTTAAGGAACATGTTTTAGACCTTTTGGAGTTAGTTAGACCAAAAAAAATGTAAAATGAAAAAAAAATATTTTGGGTTTTCGGGCTTCCTGAAGGTAATACCCGGGCCTTAGGTTATAGGGCTAGGGAAAGGTTTAAGGTTTTTGGCGATAGGGTTAAAATCACTGTCCAAAACCTTTTTAGGAACTCTTTTCCAACCTTTTGGAGATAGTTAGACCAAAAAAAATGTAAAAAGAAAAAAAAATATTTGGGGTGTTCAGGCTTCCTGAAGGTAATACCCGGGTAATAGGTTATGGGGCTAGGGTAAGGTTTAGGGTTTTTGGCGTTAGGGTTAAAATCACTGTCCAAAACCTTTGTTGGAACATGTTTCAGACCTTTTGGAGTTAGTTAGACCAAAAAAAAAAGAAAAATGAAAAAAAAATATTTGGGGTTTTTGGTTTCCCTGAAGGTAATACCCGGGTATTAGGTTTTGGGGCTAGGGTAAGGTTTAAGGTTTTTGGCGTTAGGGTTAAAATCACTGTCCAAAATTTTTTAAGGAACAAGTTTCAAACCTTTTGGAGTTAGTTAGACCAAAAAAAAACGAAAAATGAAAAAAAAAATGCTTGGGGTGTTAAGGCTTCCTTTAGGTAATACCCGGGTAATAGGTTATGGGGCTAGGGTAAGGTTTAAGGTTTTTGGCGTTAGGGTTAAAATCACAGTCCAAAACCTTTGTTGGAACAAGTTTCAGACCTTCTGGAGTTAGTTACACCAAAAAAAAAGGAAAATGAAAAAAAAATTTTGGGGGTGTTCGGGTTTCCTGAAGGTAATACCCGGGTATTAGGTTATGGGGCTTGGGTAAGGTTTAAGGTTTAAGGTTTTTGGCGTTAGGGTTAAAATCACTGTCCAAAACCTTTGTTGGAACAAGTTTCAAACCTTTTGGAGTTAGACCAAAAAAAAATGATAAATGAAAAAAAAATATTTGGGGTTTTCGGGCTTCCTGAAGGTATTACCCGGGTATTAGATTATGGGGCTAGGGAAAGGTTTAAGGTTTTTGGCGTTAGGGTTAAAATCACTGTCCAAAACCTTTGTAGGAACAAGTTTCAAACCTTTTGGAGTTAGTTAGACCAAAAAAAAACGAAAAATGAAAAAAAAAAATGGTTGGGGTGTTAAGGCTTCCTTTAGGTAATACCCGGGTATTAGGTTATGGGGCTAGGGTAAGGTTTAAGGTTTTTGGCGTTAGGGTTAAAATCACAGTCCAAAACCTTTGTTGGAACAAGTTTCAGACCTTCTGGAGTTAGTTACACCAAAAAAAAAGGAAAATGAAAAAAAAATTTTGGGGGTGTTCGGGTTTCCTGAAGGTAATACCCGGGTATTAGGTTATGGGGCTTGGGTAAGGTTTAAGGTTTAAGGTTTTTGGCGTTAGGGTTAAAATCACTGTCCAAAACCTTTGTTGGAACAAGTTTCAGACCTTTTGGAGTTAGTTACACCAAAAAAAAATGTAAAATGAAAAAAAAATATTTGGGATTTTTGGGCTTCCTGAAGGTAATACCCGGGTATTAGGTTTTGGGGCTAGGGTAAGGTTTAAGGTTTTTGGCGTTAGGGTTAAAATCACTGTCCAAAACCTTTGTAGGAACAAGTTTCAAACCTTTTGGAGTTAGTTAGACCAAAAAAAATGAAAAATGAAAAAAAAAAATGTTTGGGGTGTTAAGGCTTCCTTTAGGTAATACCCGGGAATTAGGTTATGGGGCTAGGGTAAGTTTTAAGGTTTTTGGCGTAAGGGTTAAAATGACTGTCCAAAACCTTTGTTGGAACAAGTTTCAAACCTTTTAGAGTTAGTTAGACCAAAAAAAAAAAGAAAAATGAAAAAAAAAAATTGGGGTGTTTTCGGGCTTCCTGAAGGTAATACCCGGGTATTAGGTTATGGGGCTTTGGAAAGGTTTAAGGTTTTTGGCGTTAGGGTTAAAATCACTGTCCAATATTTTTTAAGGAACATGTTTCAGACCTTTTGGAGTTAGTTAGACCAAAAAAAATGAAAAATGAAAAAAAAAATTGGGGTGTTTTCGGGCTTCCTGAAGGTAATACCCGTATAAGGATATCTGGCTAGGGTATGGTTTAAGGTTTTTGGCGTTAGGGTTAAAATCACTGTCCAATATTTTTTAAGGAACATGTTTTAGACCTTTTGGAGTTAGTTAGAACAAAAAAAATGTAAAATGAAAAAAAAATATTTTGGGTTTTCGGGCTTCCTGAAGGTAATACCCGGGCCTTAGGTTATAGGGCTAGGGAAAGGTTTAAGGTTTTTGGCGATAGGGTTAAAATCACTGTCCAAAACCTTTTTAGGAACTCTTTTCCAACCTTTTGGAGATAGTTAGACCAAAAAAAATGTAAAAAGAAAAAAAAATATTTGGGGTGTTCAGGCTTCCTGAAGGTAATACCCGGGTAATAGGTTATGGGGCTAGGGTAAGGTTTAGGGTTTTTGGCGTTAGGGTTAAAATCACTGTCCAATATTTTTGAAGGAACATGTTTCAGACCTTTTGGAGTTAGTTAGACCAAAAAAAAAAGAAAAATGAAAAAAAAATATTTGGGGTTTTTGGTTTCCCTGAAGGTAATACCCGGGTATTAGGTTTTGGGGCTAGGGTAAGGTTTAAGGTTTTTGGCGTTAGGGTTAAAATCACTGTCCAATATTTTTTAAGGAACAAGTTTCAAACCTTTTGGAGTTAGTTAGACCAAAAAAAAACGAAAAATGAAAAAAAAAATGCTTGGGGTGTTAAGGCTTCCTTTAGGTAATACCCGGGTAATAGGTTATGGGGCTAGGGTAAGGTTTAAGGTTTTTGGCGTTAGGGTTAAAATCACTGTCCAAAACCTTTGTTGGAACAAGTTTCAGACCTTTTGGAGTTGGTTACACCAAGAAAAAATGTAAAATGAAAAAAAAATATTGGGGATTTTTGGGCATTCCTGAAGGTAATACCCGGGTATTAGGTTTTGGGGCTAGGGTAAGGTTTAAGGTTTTTGGCGTTAGGGTTAAAATCACTGTCCAAAACCTTTGTAGGAACAAGTTTCAAACCTTTTGGAGTTAGTTAGACCAAAAAAAATGAAAAATGAAAAAAAAAATGTTTGGGGTGTTAAGGCTTCCTTTAGGTAATACCCGGGAATTAGGTTATGGGGCTAGGGTAAGTTTTAAGGTTTTTGGCGTAAGGGTTAAAATGACTGTCCAAAACCTTTGTTGGAACAAGTTTCAAACCTTTTAGAGTTAGTTAGACCAAAAAAAAAAATGAAAAATGAAAAAAAGAAATTGGGGTGTTTTCGGGCTTCCTTTAGGTAATACCCGGGTATTAGGTTATGGGGCTTTGGAAAGGTTTAAGGTTTTTGGTGTTAGGGTTAAAATCACTGTCCAAAACCTTTGTAGGAACTCTTTTCCAACCTTTTGGAGTTAGTTAAACCAAAAAAAAGTGAAAAATGAAAAAAAAAAATGTTTGGGGTGTTAAGGCTTCCTTAAGGTAATACCCGGGTATTAGGTTATGGGGCTAGGGTAAGGTTTAAGGTTTTTGGCGTTAGGGTTAAAATCACTGTCCAAAACCTTTGTTGGAACAAGTTTCAAACCTTTTGGAGTTAGTTAGACCAAAAAAAAAATGATAAATGAAAAAAAAAATATTTGGGGTTTTCGGGCTTCCTGAAGGTATTACCCGGGTATTAGATTATGGGGCTAGGGAAAGGTTTAAGGTTTTTGGCGTTAGGGTTAAAATCACTGTCCAAAACCTTTGTAGGAACAAGTTTCAAACCTTTTGGAGTTAGTTAGACCAAAAAAAAACGAAAAATGAAAAAAAAAAATGTTTGGGGTGTTAAGGCTTCCTTTAGGTAATACCCGGGTAATAGGTTATGGGGCTAGGGTAAGGTTTAAGGTTTTTGGCGTTAGGGTTAAAATCACAGTCCAAAACCTTTGTTGGAACAAGTTTCAGACCTTTTGGAGTTAGTTAGACCAAAAAAAATGAAAAATGAAAAAAAAAAATGTTTGGGGTGTTAAGGCTTCCTTTAGGTAATACCCGGGAATTAGGTTATGGGGCTAGGGTAAGTTTTAAGGTTTTTGGCGTTAGGGTTAAAATCACTGTCCAAAACCTTTGTTGGAACAAGTTTCAAACCTTTTAGAGTTAGTTAGACCAAAAAAAAAAAGAAAAATGAAAAAAAAAAAATTGGGGTGTTTTCGGGCTTCCTGAAGGTAATACCCGGGTATTAGGTTATGGGGCTTTGGAAAGGTTTAAGGTTTTTGGCGTTAGGGTTAAAATCACTGTCCAATATTTTTTAAGGAACATGTTTCAGACCTTTTGGAGTTAGTTAGACCAAAAAAAATGAAAAATGAAAAAAAAAAATTGGGGTGTTTTCGGGCTTCCTGAAGGTAATACCCGTATAAGGATATCTGGCTAGGGTATGGTTTAAGGTTTTTGGCGTTAGGGTTAAAATCACTGTCCAATATTTTTTAAGGAACATGTTTTAGACCTTTTGGAGTTAGTTAGACCAAAAAAAATGTAAAATGAAAAAAAAATATTTTGGGTTTTCGGGCTTCCTGAAGGTAATACCCGGGCCTTAGGTTATAGGGCTAGGGAAAGGTTTAAGGTTTTTGGCGATAGGGTTAAAATCACTGTCCAAAACCTTTTTAGGAACTCTTTTCCAACCTTTTGGAGATAGTTAGACCAAAAAAAATGTAAAAAGAAAAAAAAATATTTGGGGTGTTCAGGCTTCCTGAAGGTAATACCCGGGTAATAGGTTATGGGGCTAGGGTAAGGTTTAGGGTTTTTGGCGTTAGGGTTAAAATCACTGTCCAATATTTTTGAAGGAACATGTTTCAGACCTTTTGGAGTTAGTTAGACCAAAAAAAAAAGAAAAATGAAAAAAAAATATTTGGGGTTTTTGGTTTCCCTGAAGGTAATACCCGGGTATTAGGTTTTGGGGCTAGGGTAAGGTTTAAGGTTTTTGGCGTTAGGGTTAAAATCACTGTCCAATATTTTTTAAGGAACAAGTTTCAAACCTTTTGGAGTTAGTTAGACCAAAAAAAAACGAAAAATGAAAAAAAAAATGCTTGGGGTGTTAAGGCTTCCTTTAGGTAATACCCGGGTAATAGGTTATGGGGCTAGGGTAAGGTTTAAGGTTTTTGGCGTTAGGGTTAAAATCACAGTCCAAAACCTTTGTTGGAACAAGTTTCAGACCTTCTGGAGTTAGTTACACCAAAAAAAAAGGAAAATGAAAAAAAAATTTTGGGGGTGTTCGGGTTTCCTGAAGGTAATACCCGGGTATTAGGTTATGGGGCTTGGGTAAGGTTTAAGGTTTAAGGTTTTTGGCGTTAGGGTTAAAATCACTGTCCAAAACCTTTGTTGGAACAAGTTTCAAACCTTTTGGAGTTAGACCAAAAAAAAAATGATAAATGAAAAAAAAAATATTTGGGGTTTTCGGGCTTCCTGAAGGTATTACCCGGGTATTAGATTATGGGGCTAGGGAAAGGTTTAAGGTTTTTGGCGTTAGGGTTAAAATCACTGTCCAAAACCTTTGTAGGAACAAGTTTCAAACCTTTTGGAGTTAGTTAGACCAAAAAAAAACGAAAAATGAAAAAAAAAAATGTTTGGGGTGTTAAGGCTTCCTTTAGGTAATACCCGGGTAATAGGTTATGGGGCTAGGGTAAGGTTTAAGGTTTTTGGCGTTAGGGTTAAAATCACAGTCCAAAACCTTTGTTGGAACAAGTTTCAGACCTTCTGGAGTTAGTTACACCAAAAAAAAAGGAAAATGAAAAAAAAATTTTGGGGGTGTTCGGGTTTCCTGAAGGTAATACCCGGGTATTAGGTTATGGGGCTTGGGTAAGGTTTAAGGTTTAAGGTTTTTGGCGTTAGGGTTAAAATCACTGTCCAAAACCTTTGTTGGAACAAGTTTCAGACCTTTTGGAGTTGGTTACACCAAGAAAAAATGTAAAATGAAAAAAAAATATTTGGGATTTTTGGGCTTCCTGAAGGTAATACCCGGGTATTAGGTTTTGGGGCTAGGGTAAGGTTTAAGGTTTTTGGCGTTAGGGTTAAAATCACTGTCCAAAACCTTTGTAGGAACAAGTTTCAAACCTTTTGGAGTTAGTTAGACCAAAAAAAAATGAAAAATGAAAAAAAAAAATGTTTGGGGTGTTAAGGCTTCCTTTAGGTAATACCCGGGAATTAGGTTATGGGGCTAGGGTAAGTTTTAAGGTTTTTGGCGTTAGGGTTAAAATCACTGTCCAAAACCTTTGTTGGAACAAGTTTCAAACCTTTTAGAGTTAGTTAGACCAAAAAAAAAAAAGAAAAATGAAAAAAAAAAATTGGGGTGTTTTCGGGCTTCCTGAAGGTAATACCCGGGTATTAGGTTATGGGGCTTTGGAAAGGTTTAAGGTTTTTGGCGTTAGGGTTAAAATCACTGTCCAATATTTTTTAAGGAACATGTTTCAGACCTTTTGGAGTTAGTTAGACCAAAAAAAATGAAAAATGAAAAAAAAAAATTGGGGTGTTTTCGGGCTTCCTGAAGGTAATACCCGTATAAGGATATCTGGCTAGGGTATGGTTTAAGGTTTTTGGCGTTAGGGTTAAAATCACTGTCCAATATTTTTTAAGGAACATGTTTTAGACCTTTTGGAGTTGGTTACACCAAGAAAAAATGTAAAATGAAAAAAAAATATTGGGGATTTTTGGGCTTCCTGAAGGTAATACCCGGGTATTAGGTTTTGGGGCTAGGGTAAGGTTTAAGGTTTTTGGCGTTAGGGTTAAAATCACTGTCCAAAACCTTTGTTGGAACAAGTTTCAAACCTTTTAGAGTTAGTTAGACCAAAAAAAAAAAGAAAAATGAAAAAAAAAAATTGGGGTGTTTTCGGGCTTCCTGAAGGTAATACCCGGGTATTAGGTTATGGGGCTTTGGAAAGGTTTAAGGTTTTTGGCGTTAGGGTTAAAATCACTGTCCAATATTTTTTAAGGAACATGTTTCAGACCTTTTGGAGTTAGTTAGACCAAAAAAAATGAAAAATGAAAAAAAAAATTGGGGTGTTTTCGGGCTTCCTGAAGGTAATACCCGTATAAGGATATCTGGCTAGGGTATGGTTTAAGGTTTTTGGCGTTAGGGTTAAAATCACTGTCCAATATTTTTTAAGGAACATGTTTTAGACCTTTTGGAGTTAGTTAGACCAAAAAAAATGTAAAATGAAAAAAAAATATTTTGGGTTTTCGGGCTTCCTGAAGGTAATACCCGGGCCTTAGGTTATAGGGCTAGGGAAAGGTTTAAGGTTTTTGGCGATAGGGTTAAAATCACTGTCCAAAACCTTTTTAGGAACTCTTTTCCAACCTTTTGGAGATAGTTAGACCAAAAAAAATGTAAAAAGAAAAAAAAATATTTGGGGTGTTCAGGCTTCCTGAAGGTAATACCCGGGTAATAGGTTATGGGGCTAGGGTAAGGTTTAGGGTTTTTGGCGTTAGGGTTAAAATCACTGTCCAATATTTTTGAAGGAACATGTTTCAGACCTTTTGGAGTTAGTTAGACCAAAAAAAAAGAAAAATGAAAAAAAAATATTTGGGGTTTTTGGTTTCCCTGAAGGTAATACCCGGGTATTAGGTTTTGGGGCTAGGGTAAGGTTTAAGGTTTTTGGCGTTAGGGTTAAAATCACTGTCCAATATTTTTTAAGGAACAAGTTTCAAACCTTTTGGAGTTAGTTAGACCAAAAAAAAACGAAAAATGAAAAAAAAAATGCTTGGGGTGTTAAGGCTTCCTTTAGGTAATACCCGGGTAATAGGTTATGGGGCTAGGGTAAGGTTTAAGGTTTTTGGCGTTAGGGTTAAAATCACTGTCCAAAACCTTTGTTGGAACAAGTTTCAGACCTTTTGGAGTTGGTTACACCAAGAAAAAATGTAAAATGAAAAAAAAATATTGGGGATTTTTGGGCATTCCTGAAGGTAATACCCGGGTATTAGGTTTTGGGGCTAGGGTAAGGTTTAAGGTTTTTGGCGTTAGGGTTAAAATCACTGTCCAAAACCTTTGTAGGAACAAGTTTCAAACCTTTTGGAGTTAGTTAGACCAAAAAAAATGAAAAATGAAAAAAAAAATGTTTGGGGTGTTAAGGCTTCCTTTAGGTAATACCCGGGAATTAGGTTATGGGGCTAGGGTAAGTTTTAAGGTTTTTGGCGTAAGGGTTAAAATGACTGTCCAAAACCTTTGTTGGAACAAGTTTCAAACCTTTTAGAGTTAGTTAGACCAAAAAAAAAATGAAAAATGAAAAAAAGAAATTGGGGTGTTTTCGGGCTTCCTTTAGGTAATACCCGGGTATTAGGTTATGGGGCTTTGGAAAGGTTTAAGGTTTTTGGTGTTAGGGTTAAAATCACTGTCCAAAACCTTTGTAGGAACTCTTTTCCAACCTTTTGGAGTTAGTTAAACCAAAAAAAAGTGAAAAATGAAAAAAAAAAATGTTTGGGGTGTTAAGGCTTCCTTAAGGTAATACCCGGGTATTAGGTTATGGGGCTAGGGTAAGGTTTAAGGTTTTTGGCGTTAGGGTTAAAATCACTGTCCAAAACCTTTGTTGGAACAAGTTTCAAACCTTTTGGAGTTGGTTAGACCAAAAAAAAAATGATAAATGAAAAAAAAAATATTTGGGGTTTTCGGGCTTCCTGAAGGTATTACCCGGGTATTAGATTATGGGGCTAGGGAAAGGTTTAAGGTTTTTGGCGTTAGGGTTAAAATCACTGTCCAAAACCTTTGTAGGAACAAGTTTCAAACCTTTTGGAGTTAGTTAGACCAAAAAAAAACGAAAAATGAAAAAAAGAAATGCTTGGGGTGTTAAGGCTTCCTTTAGGCAATACCCGGGTAATAGGTTATGGGGCTAGGGTAAGGTTTAAGGTTTTTGGCGTTAGGGTTAAAATCACAGTCCAAAACCTTTGTTGGAACAAGTTTCAGACCTTTTGGAGTTAGTTAGACCAAAAAAAATGAAAAATGAAAAAAAAAAATGTTTGGGGTGTTAAGGCTTCCTTTAGGTAATACCCGGGAATTAGGTTATGGGGCTAGGGTAAGTTTTAAGGTTTTTGGCGTTAGGGTTAAAATCACTGTCCAAAACCTTTGTTGGAACAAGTTTCAAACCTTTTAGAGTTAGTTAGACCAAAAAAAAAAAGATAAATGAAAAAAAAAATATTTGGGGTTTTCGGGCTTCCTGAAGGTATTACCCGGGTATTAGATTATGGGGCTAGGGAAAGGTTTAAGGTTTTTGGCGTTAGGGTTAAAATCACTGTCCAAAACCTTTGTAGGAACAAGTTTCAAACCTTTTGGAGTTAGTTAGACCAAAAAAAATGAAAAATGAAAAAAAAAATGTTTGGGGTGTTAAGGCTTCCTCTAGGTAATACCCGGGTATTAGGTTATGGGGCTTGGGTAAGGTTGAAGGTTTTTGGCGTTAGGGTTAAAATCACTGTGACAAAACCTTTGTTGGAACAAGTTTCAGACCTTCTGGAGTTAGTTACACCAAAAAAAAAGGAAAATGAAAAAAAAATATTTGGGGTGTTCGGGTTTCCTGAAGGTAATACCCGGGTATTAGGTTATGGGGCTTTGGAAAGGTTTAAGGTTTTTGGCGTTAGGGTTAAAATCACTGTCCAAAACCTTTGTAGGAACTCTTTTCCAACCTTTTGGAGTTAGTTAGACCGAAAAAAAATGAAAAATGAAAAAAAAATATTTGGGGTTTTCGGGCTTCCTGAAGGTAATACCCGTATTAGGTTATGGGGTTAGGGTAAGGTTTAAGGTTTTTGGCGTTAGGGTTAAAATCACTGTCCAATATTTTTTAAGGAACATGTTTCAGACCTTTTGGAGTTAGTTAGACCAAAAAAAATGAAAAATGAAAAAAAAAAATTTTGGGGTTTTCAGACTTCCTGAAAGTAATACCCGTATAAGGATATCTGGCTAGGGTATGGTTTAAGGTTTTTGGCGTTAGGGTTAAAATCACTGTCCAATATTTTTTAAGGAACATGTTTGAGACCTTTTGGAGTTAGTTAGACAAAAAAAAATGAAAAATGAAAAAAAAATATTTGGGGTTTTCGGGCTTCCTGAAGGTAATACCCGTATTAGGTTATGGGGCTAGGGTAAGGTTTAAGGTTTTTGGCGTTAGGGTTAAAATCACTGTCCAATATTTTTTAAGGAACATGTTTTAGACCTTTTGGAGTTAGTTAGACCAAAAAAAAATGTAAAATGAAAAAAATATTTGGGGTTTTCGGGCTTCCTGAAGGTAATACCCGGGTATTAGGTTATGGGGCTACGGTAAGGTTTAAGGTTTTTGGCGTTAGAGTTAAAATCAGTGTCCAAAACCTTTTTAGGAACTCTTTTCCAACCTTTTGGAGTTAGTTACACCAAAAAAAAAAGAAAAATGAAAAAAAGATATTTTGGGTTTTCGGGCTTCCTGAAGGTAATACCCGGGCCTTAGGTTATGGGGCTAGGGAAAGGTTTAAGGTTTTTGGCGATAGGGTTAAAATCACTGTCCAAAACCTTTGTAGGAACTCTTTTCCAACCTTTTGGAGATAGTTAGACCAAAAAAAATGTAAAAAGAAAAAAAAATATTTGGGGTGTTCAGGCTTCCTGAAGGTAATACCCGGGTAATAGGTTATGGGGCTAGGGTAAGGTTTAGGGTTTTTGGCGTTAGGGTTAAAATCACTGTCCAAAATTTTTGAAGGAACATGTTTCAGACCTTTTGGAGTTAGTTAGACCAAAAAAAAAAGAAAAATGAAAAAAAAATATTTGGGGTTTTTGGGCTCCCTGAAGGTAATACCCGGGTATTAGGTTTTGGGGCTAGGGTAAGGTTTAAGGTTTTTGGCGTTAGGGTTAAAATCACCGTCCAAAACCTTTGTAGGAACAAGTTTCAAACCTTTTGGAGTTAGTTAGACCAAAAAAAAACGAAAAATGAAAAAAAAAAATGTTTGGGGTGTTAAGGCTTCCTTTAGGTAATACCCGGGTAATAGGTTATGGGGCTAGGGTAAGGTTTAAGGTTTTTGGCGTTAGGGTTAAAATCACAGTCCAAAACCTTTGTTGGAACAAGTTTCAGACCTTCTGGAGTTAGTTACACCAAAAAAAAAGGAAAATGAAAAAAAATTTTGGGGGGTGTTCGGGTTTCCTGAAGGTAATACCCGGGTATTAGGTTATGGGGCTTGGGTAAGGTTCAAGGTTTAAGGTTTTTGGCGTTAGGGTTAAAATCACTGTCCAAAACCTTTGTTGGAACAAGTTTCAGACCTTTTGGAGTTGGTTACACCAAGAAAAAATGTAAAATGAAAAAAAAATATTTGGGATTTTTGGGCTTCCTGAAGGTAATACCCGGGTATTATTTGGGGCTGGGAAGGTTTAAGGTTTTGGCGTTAGGGTTTTGAGGGCTGAAAAATGAAAAAAAAATTTTGGGGGTAAGGTTTAATGGGGCTAGGGGTTTAAGGTTTTTGGCGTTAGGGTTAAAATCACTGTCCAAAACCTTGTTGTTTCAACCTTTGGAGTTAGTTAACCTTCGGGTTCCTAGGTAATACCCGGGTATTAGGTTAGGAACAAGTTTCAAACCTTTTGGGAGTTAGTTACCTTTTCCTTTGGAGTTAGTAACCAAAAAAAAGTGAAAAATGAAAAAAAAATGTTTGGGGTGTTCGGGCTTCCTGAAGGTAGTATTAGGTAATGGGGCTAGGGAAAGGTTTAAGATTTTTGGCATTAGGGTAAAAATCACTGTCCAAAACCTTTGTAGGAACTCTTTTCAAACCTTTTGGAGTTAGTTAGACAAAAAAAAAAATGAAAAATGAAAAAAAAAAATGTTTGGGGTGTTAAGGCTTCCTTAAGGTAATACCCGGGTATTAGGTTATGGGGCTAGGGTAAGGTTTAAGGTTTTTGGCGTTAGGGTTAAAATCACTGTCCAAAACCTTTGTTGGAACAAGTTTCAAACCTTTTGGAGTTAGTTAGACCAAAAAAAAAAGAAAAATGAAAAAAAAATATTTGGGGTTTTCGGGCTTCCTGAAGGTATTACCCGGGTATTAGATTATGGGGCTAGGGAAAGGTTTAAGGTTTTTGGCGTTAGGGTTAAAATCACTGTCCAAAACCTTTGTAGGAACAAGTTTCAAACCTTTTGGAGTTAGTTAGACCAAAAAAAATGAAAAATGAAAAAAAAAATGTTTGGGGTGTTAAGGCTTCCTCTAGGTAATACCCGGGTATTAGGTTATGGGGCTTGGGTAAGGTTGAAGGTTTTTGGCGTTAGGGTTAAAATCACTGTGACAAAACCTTTGTTGGAACAAGTTTCAGACCTTCTGGAGTTAGTTACACCAAAAAAAAAGGAAAATGAAAAAAAAATATTTGGGGTGTTCGGGTTTCCTGAAGGTAATACCCGGGTATTAGGTTATGGGGCTTTGGAAAGGTTTAAGGTTTTTGGCGTTAGGGTTAAAATCACTGTCCAAAACCTTTGTAGGAACTCTTTTCCAACCTTTTGGAGTTAGTTAGACCGAAAAAAAATGAAAAATGAAAAAAAAATATTTGGGGTTTTCGGGCTTCCTGAAGGTAATACCCGTATTAGGTTATGGGGTTAGGGTAAGGTTTAAGGTTTTTGGCGTTAGGGTTAAAATCACTGTCCAATATTTTTTAAGGAACATGTTTCAGACCTTTTGGAGTTAGTTAGACCAAAAAAAATGAAAAATGAAAAAAAAAAATTGGGGGGTTTTCAGACTTCCTGAAAGTAATACCCGTATAAGGATACCTGGCTAGGGTATGGTTTAAGGTTTTTGGCGTTAGGGTTAAAATCACTGTCCAATATTTTTTAAGGAACATGTTTGAGACCTTTTGGAGTTAGTTAGACAAAAAAAAATGAAAAATGAAAAAAAAATATTTGGGGTTTTCGGGCTTCCTGAAGGTAATACCCGTATTAGGTTATGGGGCTAGGGTAAGGTTTAAGGTTTTTGGCGTTAGGGTTAAAATCACTGTCCAATATTTTTTAAGGAACATGTTTTAGACCTTTTGGAGTTAGTTAGACCAAAAAAAAATGTAAAATGAAAAAAAAATATTTGGGGTTTTCGGGCTTCCTGAAGGTAATACCCGGGTATTAGGTTATGGGGCTACGGTAAGGTTTAAGGTTTTTGGCGTTAGAGTTAAAATCAGTGTCCAAAACCTTTTTAGGAACTCTTTTCCAACCTTTTGGAGTTAGTTACACCAAAAAAAAAAGAAAAATGAAAAAAAGATATTTTAGGTTTTCGGGCTTCCTGAAGGTAATACCCGGGCCTTAGGTTATGGGGCTAGGGAAAGGTTTAAGGTTTTTGGCGATAGGGTTAAAATCACTGTCCAAAACCTTTGTAGGAACTCTTTTCCAACCTTTTGGAGATAGTTAGACCAAAAAAAATGTAAAAAGAAAAAAAAATATTTGGGGTGTTCAGGCTTCCTGAAGGTAATACCCGGGTAATAGGTTATGGGGCTAGGGTAAGGTTTAGGGTTTTTGGCGTTAGGGTTAAAATCACTGTCCAAAATTTTTGAAGGAACATGTTTCAGACCTTTTGGAGTTAGTTAGACCAAAAAAAAAAGAAAAATGAAAAAAAAATATTTGGGGTTTTTGGTTTCCCTGAAGGTAATACCCGGGTATTAGGTTTTGGGGCTAGGGTAAGGTTTAAGGTTTTTGGCGTTAGGGTTAAAATCACTGTCCAAAACCTTTGTAGGAACAAGTTTCAAACCTTTTGGAGTTAGTTAGACCAAAAAAAAACGAAAAATGAAAAAAAAATGTTTGGGGTGTTAAGGCTTCCTTTAGGTAATACCCGGGTAATAGGTTATGGGGCTAGGGTAAGGTTTAAGGTTTTTGGCGTTAGGGTTAAAATCACAGTCCAAAACCTTTGTTGGAACAAGTTTCAGACCTTCTGGAGTTAGTTACACCAAAAAAAAAGGAAAATGAAAAAAAATTTTTGGGGGTGTTCGGGTTTCCTGAAGGTAATACCCGGGTATTAGGTTATGGGGCTTGGGTAAGGTTTAAGGTTTAAGGTTTTTGGCGTTAGGGTTAAAATCACTGTCCAAAACCTTTGTTGGAACAAGTTTCAGACCTTTTGGAGTTGGTTACACCAAGAAAAAATGTAAAATGAAAAAAAAATATTTGGGATTTTTGGGCTTCCTGAAGGTAATACCCGGGTATTAGGTTTTGGGGCTAGGGTAAGGTTTAAGGTTTTTGGCGTTAGGGTTAAAATCACTGTCCAAAACCTTTGTAGGAACAAGTTTCAAACCTTTTGGAGTTAGTTAGACCAAAAAAAATGAAAAATGAAAAAAAAAATGTTTGGGGTGTTAAGGCTTCCTTTAGGTAATACCCGGGTATTAGGTTATGGGGCTAGGGTAAGTTTTAAGGTTTTTGGCGTTAGAGTTAAAATCACTGTCCAAAACCTTTGTTGGAACAAGTTTCAAACGTTTTAGAGTTAGTTAGACCAAAAAAAAAAAGAAAAATGAAAAAAAAAAATTGGGGTGTTTTCGGGCTTCCTGAAGGTAATACCCGGGTATTAGGTTATGGGGCTTTGGAAAGGTTTAAGGTTTTTGGCGTTAGGGTTAAAATCACTGTCCAAAACCTTTTGGAGTTAGTTAAACCAAAAAAAAGTGAAAAATGAAAAAAAAATGTTTGGGGTGTTCGGGCTTCCTGAAGGTAGTATTAGGTAATGGGGCTAGGGAAAGGTTTAAGATTTTTGGCATTAGGGTAAAAATCACTGTCCAAAACCTTTGTAGGAACTCTTTTCAAACCTTTTGGAGTTAGTTAGACAAAAAAAAAAAATGAAAAATGAAAAAAAAAAAAAATGTTTGGGGTGTTAAGGCTTCCTTAAGGTAATACCCGGGTATTAGGTTATGGGGCTAGGGTAAGGTTTAAGGTTTTTGGCGTTAGGGTTAAAATCACTGTCCAAAACCTTTGTTGGAACAAGTTTCAAACCTTTTGGAGTTAGTTAGACCAAAAAAAAAAAGATAAATGAAAAAAAAAATATTTGGGGTTTTCGGGCTTCCTGAAGGTATTACCCGGGTATTAGATTATGGGGCTAGGGAAAGGTTTAAGGTTTTTGGCGTTAGGGTTAAAATCACTGTCCAAAACATTTTTAGGAACATGTTTCAGACTTTTTGGAGTTGGTTACACCAAGAAAAGATGTAAAATGAAAAAATATATATTTTGGGTGTTCGGGCTTCCTGAAGGTATTACCCGGGTATTAGATTATGGGGCTAGGGAAAGGTTTAAGGTTTTTGGCGTTAGGGTTAAAATCACTGTCCAAAACATTTTTAGGAACATGTTTCAGACCTTTTGGAGTTGGTTACACCCCAAAAAAATGTAAAATGAAAAAAAATATATTTGGGGTGTTAAGGCTTCCTTTAGTTAATACCCGGGTATTAGGTTATGGGGCTAGGGTAAGGTTTAAGGTTTTTGGCGTTAGGGTTAAAATCACTGTCCAAAACCTTTGTTGGAACAAGTTTCAGACCTTCTGGAGTTAGTTACACCAAAAAAAAATGTAAAATGAAAAAAAAATTTTTGGGGTGTTCGGGTTTCCTAAAGGTAATACCCGGGTATTAGGTTATGGGGCTTGGGTAAGGTTTAAGGTTTAAGGTTTTTGGCGTTAGGGTTAAAATCACTGTCCAAAACCTTTGTAGGGACAAGTTAAAACCTTTTAGAGTTAGTTAGACCAAAAAAAAAATGATAAATGAAAAAAAAAATGTTTGGGGTGTTAAGGCTTCCTTTAGGTAATACCCTGGTATTAGGTTATGGGGCTACGGTAAGGTTTAAGGTTTTTGGCGTTAGAGTTAAAATCACTGTCCAAAACCTTTTTAGGAACTCTTTTCCAACCTTTTGGAGTTAGTTACACCAAAAAAAAAAGAAAAATAAAAAAAAGATATTTTGGGTTTTCGGGCTTCCTGAAGGTAATACCCGGGTATTAGGTTATGGGGCTTGGGTAAGGTTTAAGGTTTAAGGTTTTTGGCGTTAGGGTTAAAATCACTGTCCAAAACCTTTGTTGGAACAAGTTTCAGACCTATTGGAGTTGGTTACACCAAGAAAAAATGAAAAATGAAAAAAAAATGTGTGGGGTGTTAGGGCTTCCTTTAGGTAATACCCTCGTATTGGGTTACGAGGGTAGGGTAAGGTTTAAGGTATTTGCGGTTAGGGTAAAATCACTGTCCAAAACTTTTTTAGGAACATGTTTCAGACCTTCTGGAGTTAGTTAGACCAAAAAAAAAAAACGAAAAATGAAAAAGAAAATGTTTGAGGTGTTAGGGCTTCCTTTAGGTAATACCAGTATTAGGTCACGGGGCTAGGGTAAGGTTAAAGGATTTTGGGGTTATGGTTAAAATCACTGTCGTAGTCCTTGTTAGGAACTTGTTTCAGACCTTTTGTAGTGAGTTAGACCAAAATAAATGTAAAATGAAAAATAATGTGTGGGGTGTGAGGGCTTCCTTTAGGTAATAGTCGGGTATTGGGTTACAGGGCTAGGGTAAGGTTCAAGGTTTTTGCGGTAAGGGTTAAGATCACTGTCCAAGACTTTTTAAGGAACATGTTTCAAACCTTTTGGAGTTAGTTAGACCAAAATAAAAACGAAAAATGAAAAAAAAAATGCTTGGGGTGTTAGGGCTTCCTTTAGAAAATACTCGGGCATTGGCTTACGGGGCTAGGGTAAGGTTTAAGGTTTTTGGCGTTAGGGTTAAAATCACTGTCCAAAACCTTTTTTAGGAACATGTTTCAGACCTTTTGGAGTTAGTTAGACCAAAAAAAAAATTTAAATGTCAAAAAAAAAAATTTTCGGGGTTGTCAGGGCTTACTTTAGGTAATTGGGTTACGGGGCTAGGGTTATGGTTAGGGTTTTCGGATAAGCGTTAAAATCACTGTCCAAAAACCTTTGAGGAACATGTTTCAAACCTTTTGGAGTTAGATAGACCAAAAAAAAAAGAAAAACGAAAAAAAAAAATTGGGGGGTGATAGGGCTTCCTTTAGGTAATTGGGTTAAGGGTCTAGGGCAGGGGTCTTCATATAAATTTTCAGTGGGTCCACCTGAATGAAATGCTTGCAGGCCTGGGTCCAGGGATTTTTATTTATTTATTTTTTTACAGTGCATTACTCTTTTGAAATATTCACTTCATTTGTATTGCCAATAACTGCCTACTTTCAATTGGCTGTGTGCTTCCTGCGGGTAAAATGAATGCAAATGACTCGGTCCACTCGCCATAAAACACCCTGTTCTCATTCTCTACCTTTCGTGGTTTTGAGGCCGACATGTTTAGCTGCTGCTACAACTTTCTCCTCAGTCTGCCGCCTGACAGTTTTCAACATCGGGATTGCTTGGTTATTTTCGTGTGTCGAGTAGGCTAAGAGGTCTGATTTGATTGACAAGTCAAGCAAGTAAGCAAGTGATGTAATGCCTTGCTGAAATTGCAGGTGCAGTTTACCAGGCAGAAAGCAAGAGAGTAAGGCTGCACGATATTGGAAAAAACTAACATTGCGATTTTTTTCAACCCTGCGATATATATTGCGATATTAAAAATATAGGAATTTTCACCAGATGACCTGAATAGCATTTAATGTTACACTGCACTGCTGAAGTCTTGAGGACAGTTAACCTGCACTGATCTTACCTCTTTTTGTGAATGTTAGAATGGCTTCTGTCTGTCTCAGAGATATTTTTAGCTTTTATTGTTCTCGGACGTTATTGTGGCGACAGATGAACACAGAACACGTGTTTTGGTCAACATCATCCTTCTTTTAATAGAAATAATTCCAGATAACTGACTTTCATTTTCTTTTTGGCAACAAATCTTAATTTTCGGTGGTTTTCTCTTGTTCATTGCTCATTTTGCAATCGTTGTTGTTGTTGTTGTTGTTAGCGGTGTTGTGCCGAGAAACGCATGTCCTCCGAGAATTGCATGCACCTCGCAAAACGCGCACCGCTTATAGTAGAGTGGTCCATGGAAATATACATTTTAAAACCCATACAGTTCTTATTTGTTGGGCTTAACAGTCAGTAAAGTTCCCAAAGTAATTCTCAGCGGACACGCGTCTCCCTCCATGTGCAGAACATGTGCAGGGGTGGGTTTCCTCCTCTCTGATTTTGATAGACAGCTGGCAGGGTAGTCTGATTGGCAACTGAGAACTGAGTCTGATTGGCAACTGAGTAAAGGACAAAGGTGATTGGTGGATCGCTACACAGCACATGCAGAGTCACATGCAGTGTATCTCAGTCAGCTACCCTTGAAATTAACCGAGTTCATTCACTTCCGACTATCGCACACACGTATATCGTGCAGGCCTATAAGAGAGAAAAAAACATACATTTTTCTGCGGTAGGCTCGGGTCCGTATTGGACTCTTTCCCGGTCCGGAAGTGGACCGCGGTCCGCCATATGGAGACCACTGGTCTAGGGTAAGGTTTAATGTTTTTGGGGTTAGGGTTAAAATAACTGTCCAAAACTTTTTAAGGAACATGTTTCAGACCTTTTGGAGTTAGTTAGACCAAAAAAAAACGAAAAATAAAAAAAAATGCTTGGGGTGTTCGGGTTTCCTTTAGATAACACTCTTGACTCGAGCGCCCTGAGAGTGGCAGCAAGTCACATCAGCTCCTCACAGACTTTACGTTTTTGCCTTCTTATTGTTGTTTTTTGGCACCTTTTTTGTCTTTCTTTTTTTCAGCAGTGTTGTGTCTTGCATATTCCAACCATGGATGTGCATTTCATGACTCTTTTACTTTGTTTTCTTTTACTTTTCGGAATTTTTAAGTCCGCGACCGGCGACCCATTAAGCGGCCCCATTGTTTACAGCCGTGAACAGCTGTTGGCGCTGCGCCAAGCCCGGCCACCTTTCTGGGAGAGACCGGACATCCCCGCTAAGCTCCGCAGGAGAAGAAGAGGATGCAGGGCTGGAGTTCAGCATCGGGCAAAGCGGAGACGTTATAAACCAACTTTCCCGTCCATCATCATGGGAAACGTGAGGTCTCTCCCCAACAAGATGGAAGAGCTCACAGCGCTGACTAGGCTGCAATGGGAGTATCGTGAGTGCAGCCTCATGATGTTCACGGAGTCATGGCTGAACGAACTGACTCCGGACCCGCTCGGACCAGAGCGTGAGGGAGAGTGGTAAGAAGAAAGGAGGCGGGATAGCGGTGTATGTGAATGAGAGATGGTGTAATGCTGGGCACATCAGTGTTAAAGAGCAGCTCTGCTCTAAGGACATTGAGCTGCTGGCTGTGAGTTTGCATCCATTTAACCTGCCGAGGGAGTTTTCGCACGTCATCACATTAACTGTTTACATCCCCCCCTCGGCTGATGCTGCTGCAGCCTGTGAACTCCTCCATAGTGAAGTGTCCAAGCCACAAACATCACACCCTCAGTCTCTGATCATCATCTCTGGAGACTTTAATCATGCATCGCTGTCCTCCAATCTCCCTACCTTCAGCCAGTATGTAAACTGCCCAACAAGAGACAATAAAACTTTGGACTTACTGTATGCAAACACCAAGGATGCATACACCTCCTCCCCCTCCCCCCGCTGGGCCGCTGAGATCACAACCTGGTGAGACTGCAGCCCATTTACATACCTATGGTGAAGAAACAACCCCCCACCATCAGGTATGTTAAGAGGTGGTCTGAGGAGGCCACTGAGGCGCTGCAGGACTGTTTTGAGACCACAGACTGGGATGTACTGTGCAGCCCACATGGTGATGACATCGACACCATGACAGACTGTATCACGGACTATATAAACTTCTGTGTGGAGAACACCGTACCCACCAGGAAAGTACGGTGTTTCTCCAACAGCAAACCCTGGGTGACCCCGGAACTTAAAGTCCTCCTGAAGGAGAAGAGGAGGGTCTTTAAATCTGGGGACAAGGAGGAGCTGAGGAGGGTGCAGAAGGACCTGAAGAAGAACATCAGAGAGGGAAAGGCCAGCTACAAGACCAAGATGGAAAACCTTTTGCAACAGAACAACGCAAGGGAGGTCTGGAGAGGCCTGAAATCCATCTCAGTTCATAGCAGGGGCCATGAGAGGGGACCTGAAGTAGGAGACAGGGAGTGGGCCAACGAGCTGAATCTGTTCTTCACTAGATTTGACCCTGCTCCCACTCCTCCCCCGACTCATCAAACCAACGTCCCGTCTGCTGCTTCTTCTTCACACCACCTCAGTCCCATGGTATCGGCATCATCAACCCCCCTCCACTCATCCAACACCACCCCCTCCAGCACCAACCCCAGCCTCTCCATAACAGCTGACCAGGTGAGAATTGAGCTGAGGAAGATGAAGCCAAGGAAAGCCACAGGTCCTGACGGCATCAGCTCCAGACTCCTGAAGGATTGTGCAGACCAGCTCTGTGAGGTGCTACTTCACATCTTCAGCTTGAGCCTGAGTCTGGAGAGGGTCCCAACACTGTGGAAGACTTCCTGCGTGATTCCTGTCCCCAAGACAGCACACCCCAGGGAGCCCAACCACTTCAGACCTGTGGCCCTCACTTCTCACCTGAAGAAGACTCTGGAGAGGATCATGCTGAGGAACCTCGATCCCCTAGTGAGCTCTCATCTGGATCCTCTGCAGTTTGCCTACCAGCCAAACATCGGGGTGGACGACGCAGTCATCTACCTGCTGCAGAGGTCCATGGCCCACTTGGAGAATACCAGCAGCACTGTGAGGGTCGTGTTTTTTAACTTCTCCAGTGCTTTCAACACTATCCAGCCTTCACTGCTCAGGGGGAAGCTCGAGCGGGCGGGAATGGACTGTCACCGAGCCGCATGGACCGTGGACTACCTCACCGACAGACCACAGTTTGTGAGGCTTCAGAACTGTGTATCGGACATGGCGGTCTGCAGCACGGGGGCTCCACAGGGGACAGTGCTCTCCCCCTTCCTCTTCACCCTGTACACCTCGGACTTCAGCTACAACTCTGGGAGCTGTCACCTACAGAAGTTCTCTGATGACACAGCCATCGTCGGATGTGTATCATCAGGGGATGAGCGGGAATACAGGACTGTCATCACTGACTTTGTCAACTGGTGTGGCACAAACCACCTCCAGCTCAACGCCAGTAGGACAAAGGAGATGGTCGTGGATTTCCGCAGGAGGGGGACACCTCAGACTGTTCCAGTAAACATCCGGGGTCTGGACATCGAGATGGTGGAGTCCTACAGATTACTGGGTGTCCACCTCAACAACAAACTGGACTGGTCAACCAACACAGACGTCCTTTACAAGAAGGGCCAAAGTTGTCTCCACCTGCTGAGGAGACTGAGGTCCTTTGGAGTGTGCAGGACTCTGCTCAGGACTTTCTATGACTCTGTGGTAGCATCTGCACTTTTCTATGCAGTGGTCTGCTGGGGGGCAGGGAGCACTGAGAGGGACAGGAAGAGACTGAACAGACTGGTCAGGAGGGCCAGTTCTGTCCTGGACTTCTCCTTGGACTCCCTGGAGGAGGTGGGTGAGAGGAGGATGTTAGCAAAGCTTGTATCCATCATGGACACCCACTGCACTAGACTGTGGGGGCCTTAATCAGCTCCTTCAGCAGCAGACTTAGACTTCCACCTTGCAAGACGGAGCGCTACCGCAGGTCATTCCTCCCTTCAATGCAATAAGATTTTACAACGAACTGTAATATAACTGGACTCACACCACCACCTTTTTTTTCTGGTACTTAAATTGTTTGTATTGTATATAGTTTTATTTTCTTTTCCCTTTTTCATTTTTCTAAATTTTTCCTTAATTATTACATTTAAGTTCTTAATATTACCATCTTTACTTTTATTACTGCATTTTTGCACTCTTTGTCTGTGATGTCTGTGTGCACACAATGCACATATAATTATTACAAATTAACCTACACAAAAACACAAAATGTTATATAAAAAAGAGAAAATTTATAAGCAACAGCAATTCTATATCTTATCTGATGAATGTGTTTGGCACGCGTATGGACACCCAACCTGACTGAATAAACACAGATGATACAGCATTAAATTCAATACCCAATGGTCACACATAATCAATTAACAAGATAATCCCCCCCCCCTTCTCTCACGACGATTTATTTTAGTGATCAAATAAGTTATTTATATCAAAAATGTGAACGAAACAATAAAAGATACTTTCAAAATAACCCGTTAATCTAATTTTTTCACATCCTCAGATGCTGTGAATAATTTATCTGGAGTAAGGCCTACATACAAGTATTATAATATTTAGTTGCATGAGCGAAGATCATTTCACATGCAAATATTAGTGAAAGAGAAAGGTATGCCATGGAGCATGATGGGTCCTTTACACACAGGTGGTTCTGATTTTAATGCTGTTAGGTATGGTATTAGTTTATGTTGTGATCTGTGCGCGCAACCCACCTTGGTCACAGGAGTTTAAATGTATGCAACTTGGTGTGAGTGTCTTTATTTGTGGAAAAGGATGTTTGTCTTACCAGTGGGTACAACCTTGCACACACAAAACCCTTCTACTTATTTGATAAAGTGTGGAGGACACAATGCCCTCCACAGTGCTACGAGCAACACTTGTTGAGAGGCTGCTTTCTGTTGCCACTGTGTGGCATTGCTGTCTTCAGCCATCTCTTCAACTACTTCATGAAATTTACTGTATGCCCTGCCAGTGGTGGATTGAAAGGTGAGAAGAGGTGCTGATGTGATTGGTAAAAGGTGGACTCAGCTATGTTGAACCCACTTCCCATCTCTCTTTACTACTTAAATTGCTGGTAGAAAGTTTTTTGTTTTTTTTTTGCATGTAGTCGAGTTAGATGCATTAATTATTTCTTCATAGCAAACATTCAGTGACAATGAGTTTACGAAAAAAGACAGTCTCAACTGGAATGGAATTGTTGCAATGGCTTTATTTATGTCAAAAATTCTGCAAGCCAGCAAGAAAAAAAAATCAGTGTGGAAACCAACAGAAAAATGTGCAAAAGAAATATGTGGTATTATACTATTGTAAGGAAAAAAGACCCTAATCTGCCCAGTCTTCTGCATTGGGCCACATGGCCTCATCAACATCACACCAGACCAACTCCTCTCTGTGGGCAACTCTTCTTTGTTCTGCCATTCTCTATTGTCTTGTTTCTTTAGCCCCAAACCAACACACCACACAAAACTTTTTATGTATAAGCTGTGAGTGAACTCAGCTATGGCTTCAGTTATTTGACTAATTTACATCAGCTGGTTTTCAATGACAATAAGAAAAAATTTGATAATTTACCGTCTTTGAATCTATAAAGTGATCTGCTTCTCACTTCAACTTTAGCCTGTTGGTTACATTGAGAACATACGGTTATCTGTTTTGATATACTGTGTGAAAGCATTTGTAAATTTGTGGGTTAAAGTCAATTGTTTTGGCGTTGGTAGAGCATGTTTGTTAAAGAAGTTAAAACATTTTGTAAATGTGTCCGCTGTATGCAATTTGTGTCAAACAAACAAGAAATGTTTTAATTGTATAGGGCACATAGGCTGATGTTGTGCAAACTGTGTGAAGAGTTTCGGAAATGTGTCAGAGGTATTGAAATTTGTGTTGAGACGATCATAAAAAACTTTAATTGTTCCGGCAAACTATTAACATGGTGTCAAAATCTGAATGGACTCCTCGCCCGTAAGTATCTCTTCTGCTTTCAAGTGCACTCTCTCTGTTTAACCCTTGTGCACCCCATAGGACCGTTTTGGTCCTTCGTAACTATACTTTTGTGGATAATTTTGGCTGTGATGATGCAAATGGCATGAAAATTTGTCAAAGTGTGTAATTTTAGGTGCAATTTAATTTTTTTTCTTTTTTCTTTCTTTGACCTTTTTTGCATGAGAGCAATTTTTATTACTACAGTAGACACTCCTAAGGACCGAAACGGTCCCATTGACTCCCATTAAAACATGTTTTCTTCAATACACTGCCAATGCAGTATAATTTTTGGATTTTTTTTTTTCTCATGTACAATTATTCTTTGAGGGTCAAACTGTTTTTTTTTTTTATGCCGACCAGCAGATGGCACCATTTTTCTTTTTTCCTGCCATACCCTTTAGAACCAGAGGGGCACTGTTTTCCCTTTTTCACAGAGCTGGATTATTTCATGCATATAGATAGATAGATTGATAGATATACAATTTATTGATCCCAAACTGGAAAATTCTCATGTTACAGCAGCAAAAAAATACAAAATAGAATTAAATATAAGAAGAAATATGTACAATGCAGACCTAAAAATACTAAATATACATAATGAATACAGGCTAAATATACTAAACATCTTTAGAGAGAAAATAATTTAATAAAAACTGTTTAGGTGTGTTTTAGGGACATCATGGATTATGTGCATGTGTTTTCATGAATTACTTGTGTGTGTGTGTGTGTGTGTGTGTGTGTGTGTGTGTGTGTGTGTGTGTGTGTGTGTGTCTGTGCATATGCAGCCATGAGAATAGCCAAAATCCTTCCAGAAACAGCGGCAGTTGTACAATCTGCACCTGCAATTTCCTTCTGTGTGTGTGTGTATGTGTGTGTGTGTGTGTGTGTGTGTGTGTGTGTGTGTGTCTGATTGTGTGGGTGTGATTGTGTGTCTGATTGTGTGTGTGTGCGCACGTGTGTGAGCAAGCTCATGAGGTTCATAGCGGGCACCTGATCAATGTGAGTGCGTAAAAGCAAGCAAGGAAGGGATGGTGTGTGTGTGTGTGTGTGTGTGTGTGTGCGTGTGCGTGTGCGTGTGTGTGTGTGTGTGTGTGTGATTGTGTGTGCTAGCGAGCGTGCGTGCGTGCGTGTGTGAGCGCACGCAAGAGGTTCATAGCTGGCACCTGAAGAGGGAGGGCTTCATCAATGTGCGTGCGTAAAAGCAATGGATGGATGGATGGTGTGTGTGTGTGTGTGTGTGTGTGTGTGTGTGTGTGTGTGTGTGTGTGTGTGTGTGTGATTGTGTGTGTGTGTGTGTGTGTGTGTGTGTGTGTGTGTGTGTGTGTGTGTCTGATTGTTTGTGTGTGCGTGTGTCTGATTGTTTGAGTGTGTGTGTGAGCAAGCGCACATGGTTCATAGCAGGCACCTGATCGATGTGCATGCGTAAAAGCAAGCAAGGGATGGATGGTGTGTGTATGTGTGTGTGTGTGTTTGAGATTGTGTGTGAGATTGTGTGTGCGTGCGTGCATGTGTGAGCGCACGCACAAAGTTCATAGCTTGCACCTGAAGAGGGAGGATATCATCGATGTGTGTGCATAAAAGCAAGAGATGGATGGATGGATGGATGGATGGATGGTGTGTGTGTGTGTGTGTGTGTGTGTGTGTGTGTGTGTGTGTGTGTGTGTGTTATACACTACAGAAAAAAAAAATCTTTTCAAATCAATTTTCTCATCAAAGTTTACCAATCCCATGCTCTTATAATCAAAAGTTTAAAAAAACAATTGAATTGGAAAATAATTCATCAAGTTTTTTGACTTAAAATAATATCAGGTTTTTACAAAAAAGACTGACATTTATGGGGTTAAAATACACAACCTGAATAAAGTTTTGCTATTTATGATTAGGTTATAAGTCAATGATGGCAGCCAAAAAAAAAAATTTAAATATATTTATTTAGACAATATTTCGACTGAAGCAAAATGGAGGGGACTGTTTCGGTCCCTTAGAGGTGTTAATTGAAGTTTTTATTATTATTCAACACTACAGAAAAAATACTTATCCTTTCAAATCAATTTTCTCATCAATGTTTACCAATCCCATGCTCTAATAATCAAAAGTTTAAAAAATCAATTTGCATTTATAGGATGGAAAATAATTCACTAAGTGTTTTTTTTAACTTAAAATAATATCAGGTTTTTACAAAAAAGACAGGCATTTATGGGGTTAAAATACAAAACCTGAATAAAGTTTTGCTATTTATGATTAGGTTATAAGTCAATGATGGCAGCCAAAAAAAAAAAAAAAATTAAATATATTTATTTAGACAATATTTCTACTGAAGCAAAATGCATTCCCTTAGGGGTGTTAATTGAAGTTTTTCTTAGGGGTGCACAAGGGTTAAAGAGCTAAAGCTAACCAGAGCAACATCGTGGCGGAGAGATTTTGCAAGAATGTCACCAAGAACTGGCAGATGTTTGAGAGGGAGTATGACATCTTTTTGCCGCAGCACACTTTGATAAGCCTGCAAGATCCAAGGCATATATCCTCTTCAATCTAGCAGGATTGGAAGGATCTAGCATGCACCAGGTGAAGACGGGGAATAATCAGCCCTGCAGAGACTAGAGAGGACCCAGAGTGTTTGATAAGGAAATTTCCAGAAATCTGCAACCCCCGAAACAATAAAACAATGGAGAGGCACAAGTTTCCTTCGAGAAATCAAAGACAAGGTGAGAGCATTGAGTCATTCATTAGTGACCCCAGGATTAAAGCCAAGAGCTGTCATTTTGGAGATTTGACTGGTGATCTTATCTGTGACTGAATAGTTTGTAGTATTTCTAGTGATTCTCTGAGAAAGACACTTTTAAGAGACAGTGACCTGAATCATAAAAATCTAAATCACAGTCACTCTGTGTTACGATATATTGTAAATATGGAGATGGTTTGATGAAGTTGCATAAAGAATTAACAATTGTGCCTATTGCAGTCATGTACTAATGGATAACAGGAAGAAGGATGAAAACTCCAGGGAGGCCATAGATCACCCTGTTCAGAGGAAAAGAACAGTATGGAAGTTTTAGCTTTGGCTTTTCTTGATAGATGGTAAGTAAGGTGTCTTGTACTGAATAAAGATGTTTGTGTGCTGTTTTTTAAGGAAGTTGTACTTAAACATATGAAAAAGGAAGTGGGCAGAGGGTGCTTTGCGGTTTAAACTTCTTTAAAGAAAGGTTATTGAACTTAGGGAGGTGTTAGGTGTGTGCGTTAGAGATGACTGTAGAATGAATAACTCAACTCTTTTTTAGGTATTGTCTTCTCTTCTTCCCATCAACGACCACGCTGGAAAGGGTGAGAGGTTATTAAGGTATTGGAGTCAGAGAGTTAGTACCAGTTGGTACCTTTTTCATTGTGTTTGGGAAATGAAGTAAGAGTAATCTTTAAGGTGTTAGGAAAACCACTCTTTTTCCAACATCTCCCAATACGTAACTATCTCTAACTCCAATAACTGTAAGAGCAGCCATGCAGCTAAGCGGGAAAAGTGTCCAGCAAACTGATAAGTGTCATAACTACAAGAAACTTATCCATTTTAAGAAATGCTGCAAGTTTAAACCACACAGCCAGTCCACCTTTAATAAAAAAGACTACTCTCAGTCCATGATGTAGTAGAGCCTGCTTCATGCAGCTAAGAAACATTTTATGTGGATGGTGTTGATACTGCAGTGACTATTGACAGTATAAATTCTTAAAGTGGGGGTAACGATAAATGATTTGTAACAGTTCATATTAACAACAAGCCCACTGAAGTGAAAGTGGATACAGGTGCAAAATGCAATGTGATGTCACAGAAGATGTTTAACAAAGTGGTAAGAGGGAAGCAGCCTGTAAAGCAAGAGAAAGCCACAAACCTCATTGCTTATGGAGGCAGTAAAATTGAAATCAAGGGCATTGTCATACTGTCCTGCAGCTTAAAGAAGTGGCACCATGCCTTACACTGCACACCTTGCATGGATTGTTTATTTGAGGGGAGCACGGTTCAGGGGAATATTTGTGATTTGTGTGTTTGTTTTGAAGGTCACCCAATCAATGGAATTGATCATTTTATTATTATTATTATTTGATTATTACTCTTTATTCTTTGTCTTTTTTTCCCTTAAGTGTCAGACTGAAAATGCTGGTATTATTTGTCTCGCATAATTCATGAGTATTCTGACCTTATTATTTTTCAATGCCTGGGGCCTCAATTCACCATCACGTGTTAGCTTTTTAGAGGCTCTTGGCAGAGAAAAAGTTGACATTGCTACCGTCAGTGAATCCCACCTGTTAAAGAAATATGTTTACAGAGTGCAAAATTAAGATTACCACATAGTGGCTTGTTCTTCCCACTCCCAGGGATGCAGGGATGTGGAATGAAATGGTTTGTTAATATTAAGATGAATGGGGGATGAGCATATAAGAGCATAAAAGATATGAGAAGACTGGCACCCCAGGCAAAGCTATTACCAGATAGGTGCTATATTCAGGCCAGTCAACAAGATCCATTGGCATGTTGAAAACAGAGTGCATAGTGAGAGGAAGAACACACAAGCTGGGCTTTGAGATAATGAGGAGCAGTCAGGTGACACCTGCAAGCGTCTAGGTTTGATGCACTTCACCTTACCTAAGGAGCAACTTATGGTAGGACACAGCAGCTCAGAGCTTCTAACATGGCAGCATCTAATCAGTACCTATGATGATGTTTTCAATGCATCAGTTGAATCACTCCCAGGGGAGGTTCATTTTGAGTTAGACAAATACGTAACTCTAGTGCAGGCTTCTCCACGTAATGTTCCAGTAGCTCTCAGAGATGCAGTCAAGGCTCAGTAAAACAAACATGAGAGGGCTGGACATTTAGCCTCATTGTCCTTACCAACCTAGTATATAAGCAACATGGTGAGAGTCAAGCAGCCAGAGAAAGTGAGGATTTGCATAGACCCCAAGTCACTTAATCTGGCTTTTAAGAGGCCCCACTCAAGGGTGTAGAACCCATTGCAGATGATATATTGGTAATGGGGTGTGGGAACACAGATGAGGAAGCCACGAAAGACCATGATAGGAAACTGCTAGAGCTCATGGATAGGTGCAGGGAGGTCAAGCTTAGTAGTCCGGGAGCCATGGGGGTGAACGTGGTTTTGTCGGTTTAAGTTTTTTTCTCCACTGATTCTTGCTGCTGGGGGTCCCCTCTTAAGGATTCAAGAGGGTGCCCAGTGAAATCCCTGGAGCATTTTTTGGTATTAACCCCTTAATGCCCAAAACACTAAAAATTCACCCAAAATAGACTTCTATGGTATTTCATGCAAAATACCTAATCTAAATGCATAAAATTTGCTTTCTACAGTTTGTATCCATGTAAATGAATGTGTACAGTGCATTAGATTTAATATGTATGCATTTTTTAATATTAACCCCTTCCTGTCCAGAACAACATAATCTATAAACTGTGATATTGTACATGCACAGAAATCAAATCAAATGCATTAGATCTGCTTTCTACAAAGTCTAATAGTGGAACTGGTCATGTTTCCTTTTGGATGAATGCATATCAACCCTTTGAGGCCAACCATCTTTTAGTCATTAATCCTTAAATTCCCAAAACAAAAACAAAAAAATACACAAAATAGGGTTTTATGGCATTTTATGCAAAAATATTGATTTAGCGCATCAAATTTGATTTGTAGTGTTTATCAATGAACGTGGATGTGTAAAATTTAGTTTTCTGATCTCACATTAAAACATTTTATAGATATTAACTCCTTCACACTCGAAGCATCAAAATCCAATAAAAGATTGATTTATGACATTTTATGCACAGTAAATCAATTCAAATACTTCAAATTAGCTGTATAACAAATTAATAATGTTATGTGGAAGTGGTCGTATACAGCATATCCCATGTTAAGGTCCAATGATACCAAAGATCCACACTTTCGTAAGACCCAAGAATCAGAGACAGAGAGAAGAACCACATTTAAAGGAATTTATGGTTGGCATGGAGGTTTCCACTTACTGTTTCAGGCCTATCTTGAGCATCCCACAACATAACAGTGACAGGACATTGTGCATGGCAAACCATGTACACTGCAACTGCAGTTTTTGGAATTACATGGATTTTCAGTTTTGCAGCCACATTTAATCATTTGCAGAATGTAGTCTGGGGCAGGTTTGCAACCTTCAGGTAGAGTGGTTGGGCTCAGTGACCTGTTAGCCATGTCTTTTTTCTATCCAAATTTTACTGGGTCGAATGTTGTTGGAAGATGCCAGTCAACATTTCGCCACAAAGCAGCTTGAAAGTGGGCCCTCTTGACATTCTCAATAAACGATTCCCTGGTAGGTGGTAGTGCAGGTAGGTTTGGAGCAGATGTACGTCCTTTCCCATTTTTTTCCCCCAAACTAGAAGTCTAGTGCGTGACATGTTGTGGCTTTTCTGTATGCAATAACAGGCTGATATGAATGCAGTGGCTTGGTCAATTACTTTCTGGAATGGTGCATCTATGTCTCCCATAGCCGGTAGATCGTAGCCAGCTTTCAGGACTTAAATTACTGAGCCTTTTCCCAACCCATAGAAGGATGTTACAGTGTCACATCCTGAAATGGCATGGGCTGGTAAAATGTTCTTGGCAATTAGTGGATCCTTTGCCAGTGTTGACTTTATGTCAACTATTGCCCTTTCCTGGCTCGGGGATTCCATAGTGAGAGATACATCCAGTCCTGACTGTTGATAGTGGTGAAGGAGGAGGACGAACACATCTGTGTCATCCGAAACCACAGAGATTTTATGGGCCTCTCCAGCACACACAAGGACTTGTTGGGCAATGATTGTGTCAAGGAATCAATACATTAAATGAAATAGTTACAAAATGTGTGAGGTTAGAAAGAGTGAAAACACTTACCAAATCACTGTCATCCTAGAAAATAACTTGTGCATCCACACACAAACAGTCTCAGCCCATGATGAGGAGAAATAGCTGATTCCCGGCTAGCTTATCAATTGAAAAAGCAGGAACAAGTTACACATGCAGGAATTGTGTTTTTGTTGTACACAGTTATCAATTGATAATGTATAAATAAAACAGCATAATAAAAATACCATTAATTCAGGCTAAATTAGTCAATTCCCACCCAAAGCAATGAAAGAACAGATGAAAGAATAAATATGTATTCATTTCTACATCTACATATTCCCCAGCGGGGGAATATGTAGATGTAGAATATGTTCTGTAGATGTTTTTGTACAGTATGCTCAAGATGGAGGGCCTGAAAGGGTTAAAATGCATTCAATCAAAAGGAAACATGCTTTACATGACGAGTTCCACTATTA